GGTGACATAAACTCCATCGACCCTATAATAACTGGGACAATAACGGCCTGAATGTCTCACATTCTTTCAGTTCCAATCCGGGGGTGGGGGTTACTGCATTTCATAACTTTAGCAATTTCTTTGACCTTAATATTATGGTCACCTAGAATTGACAGCAGGTTTTTTTGTTTTTTTTTGTTGTTTTGTTTTTTTTTGTTTTTTTTTTTTTTTGTTTTTTTGTCAACGACGGTGATGGCTGTTTTGAATACGGTCCGTTTGGATGTTGAAATTCAACAAGATCTTGACTTGGTCGTTTTCGATCAGATTCTCTGGCTTATGGCGGCACCATTTCTCATCGACTTGAAACTCATTCTTCCTGCATAAGCAATAATGCTGCCTTTTTACTAATTATAATATACCAGTATATTAATTTCTTTGACTTTTATATTAATTTCTTTGACTTTTATATTAATTTCTTTGACTTTTATTTTAATTTCTTTGACTTTTATATTAATTTCTTTGATTTTTTTTATTAATTACTTTGGCCCTTATATTAATTTTTTTACCTTTATATTAATTTCTTTGATTGATTTTTTTTTACCTTTATATTAATTTCTTTGGCCTTTATATTAATTTCATCGACTTTTATTTTAATTTCTTTGAATTTATATTAATTTCGTTGATTTTATATTAATTACTTTGGCCCTTATATTAATTTCTTTGACCCTTATATTAATTTCTTTGACTTTTATATTAATTTCTTTGATTTCTTTTTATTAATTACTTTGGCCCTTATATTAATTTTTTTAAGTTTTATATTAATTTCTTTGACACTTATATTAATTTCTTTGACACTTATATTGATTTTTTTTTACCTTTATATTAATTTCTTTGGCCCTTATATTAATTTCTTCGACTTTTATTTTAATTTCTTTAATTTTATATTAATTACTTTGGCCCTTATATTAATTTCTTTGACCCTTATATTAATTTCTTTGACCCTTATATTGATGTTTTGACCTTTATTGTTAATTTTTAGACACTTATATTAATTTCTTTGACCCTTATATTAATTTCTTTGATCTTTAAATTAATTTCTTTGGCCCTTATATTAATTTCTTCGACTTTTATTTTAATTTCTTTGACTTTTATATTAATTTCTTTAATTTTATATTAATTACTTTGGCCCTTATATTAATTTCTTTGACCCTTATATTAATTTCTTTGACACATATTGATGTTTTGACCTTTATTATTAATTTTTTAGGCACTTATATTAATTTCTTTGACCTTTATATTAATTTCTTTGATCTTTAAATTAATTTCTTTGAACTTGATATTATGTTGACTATTTCTTGTTTCATTTATTTATTTGTTCATGTTTCAAAAAACGGTCTCAAGAAGACGCTCTGTTTGGATGTTGTAATCCAACAAGATGTTGACTTGGTCGTTTTCGATCAGATTCTCTGGCTTATGGCGGCACCATTTCTCATCGACTTGAAACTCATTCTTCCCGCATAAGAAATAATGCTGCCTTTTTCCTAATTATATTTTACCAGTTAAGGAATAATTTGGTGCAGCTCCGGATCTGATTTGTGAAGAAATTACCCAGGCATTTGTTCTAGCATTTTTTGACAATCTTTTTTCATTATCAGGAAGGTTAATATTGCCTTATGTGTGAAATTGGGTAAACGAAATTATTTGAGAGCAATCGAAGGTTGTGCTAAGCCATCGTGGCCGAGAAAGTGAGTGTACTGGCCTTGTTCAGACTGATGATCACGTCAGATAATGAACTCTTTTTCTCTCCAAAAGAGTAAATAAGTTCCGCTCGATATATATGCAGTACAAACCACAGGTGGGCTCTGTTGGTGTTGAACAAACACAAAACAGAGCAATTACACTACTATTCAGGGTGAATACATACACACACACACACACAAATACACATGCACACATAGACAAACAACAATACACACACACACACACACACACACACACACACACACATATATATATATATATATATATATATGGGTCTTTCGAACATGTTTCATTAAATATGACAGAAAATTTTATTAATTTTTTATTGAGCTTTTTATAGTATTTTTTTTTTTAATTTTACGTTTTGGAGTGTATGGGATGTGTGTGCATGTGGATATATATAAGACATACAACTCTCCTCTCTCTCTCTCTCTCTCCCTCTCTCTCTCTCTCTCTATATATATATATATATATATATATATATATGTGTGTGTGTGTGTGCGCGTGTGATCAGGTGTGTATATATTTATAGACAGATAGATACGAATATTACATGTATAGGTATGTGTGCTCCGTCTACTTTCTACATTAACACCATGTCATTCTCAAGGTATGCTTTTAAGACAAAAATGTAGTGTTCATTATTTCCAAAAGCAAAACTAGTATATGTATATGTGTGTGTGTGTGTGTGTGTGTGTGTGTGTGTGTGTGTGTGTGTGTGTGTGTGTGTGTGTGTGTTGTTTTACGGCATATCAACCTCAATTTATCTTCAAAAATCTATTTCTGGGAATATTTTTCCTTGAAGAAATCTATAGCTGGTCATATTTTTTTTAAAAGAATGTATAGCTGTTTGTATTTCTGGTATTTATTTTTTAAAGTATTACTGGTTATAATTTTTCCTTCAAAAATTATTGCTGGTAATAGTTTCTTTTTATTACAAAGTATTTCTGGTATTAAAACCTATTTTTACACAAGTTTGAGTGTTAACTATTTGCCTATGACTTGGACCCTAACAGGTGCTACCACCCCGAGTAAGGATGCAGCTGGGAATACCAGCAATTAAAAGGTGTTTGCATGCTCCTCAAAACCTCCTGATCAGAGGTCTTGGATGTAGATATATATATATGTTTAAGCATGTTTGATTGAATGATCTGGACATATGTCTATTTTTATTTTAATCTATAATAACAATGTCTATTTTAAATACGATGTATTTAGGCAGCAAGTTTTCTTTCAAACATGTTTCCTTTAAAAATATCAACTTGTTCTGTCTGTCTGTCTGTTTTGTTTTTTTTTTGTTGTTTTTTTTTTTTTTTTTACTTTATCAAATTTACGAATCAGTTGTTTTATATAATCGGTAAATTTATCAAAGTTTCTTTTTTTTGTTTTTTAGAGCACTTTCGGATGTTGCTACATTCATTTTTAAGGATTTCGGGGTGGGGGTTGCGTGTGCTTGTGTCCTTATGTAACTTTATTTGTTTCGTTGCCGTGTTCATTCCCCTGTTGGATGTCACTCAGCGTGACGTCATTTATAAATGGCAAACAGGATTTTAACGTGTATTTTTTTTCTTTTGTACACATTTGATAAACACCATGCAGTAGAAGAAAAAAAAGCTCATGTAATGTTGACTGCTTCCATTGAAATAAAACGGCTTCTAGAATATATATATATATATATATATATATATGTATATAAATAAAAAGAAAGAACAGTAAGATATAAAATCCGGTGTTCTTATAGATATTTTATTTTTACAAAATAGTGCTCAATGTAAATTTACAGAGCATTAATATTATAAATGGTTGGAACTGTGTAGCGAAAATAACCATATTTTAAATCAATTAATTTATAATATATATATATATATAAAGAAAACATTTAAGTCAACACTCAGTGGCGACACACTGTTTCATGTCAAACGTATTCATTAAACCTGATGATTGCTTTTAGAATGAAATAGTCTGTCGCCTCTGAGTGTTGACTTCAATGTTCACTTTTATATTTATATACGCTCTATCTCTGATATTGAGCACTTTATCCCATAGATATTCCATACCTAAAACTATATTTCTTCATATATATATATATATGCATATATATATATATATATATATATATATATATATATATATACCAAATATGTGGTGCAGTTCAATTTATATTACAAAGAATCATTCATACAAAAAGTAGATTAGTAAAGTTAATGATATAAAATGGCGAAATCCCTTCGCTAACAAAATTTTAAATGTGTATTAACCTACGAACCACTCGATGAATGTTATGATCCTTGTTTTTAAAAATTATAAGCTGTATAAGGTCCTTTTTTGTAATACGGAAGTACTTTCAACTGTACATTCAGTCATCTTCAGGTATGGAAATTATTTTGTGTTTAGTAAAATCCAGGTAGCAAACGAGACGAAAAAATTAAATGCTAATCGAAATATGTTTTTTTTCTTTAAATCAATAAAATTATTTAAACAAGGAGACCGTCCAGAAGAGATGCAGGAGATTCTGAAGTCATCTTGGGGCCGAGGCTGAAGCGAATGGAGTTTTCATTAAATAAATTTACTCTTTAGTATTTCAAAATATTTTTGTGACATTTTAGTAAGTATATCTGTTAAAATGAGATGTCAGTATTATCTTTGATTTTTGCTTCATTTAGACGACAATTTATCCATCGCACCCTGTATGTCTGTGAAAATGAGATGTCAGTGTTATTTTCCATCTTTGCGTCATTTAGACGACAATTTATCCATCGCACCCTGTCTGTCTGTTAAAATGAGATGTCAGTGTTATTTTTCATTTTTGCGTCATTTAGACGACAATTTATCCATCGCACCCTGTGTATTTTACTGTGTGTATGTGGATGTGTATGCGTGTGTACCGAGAGAAAGAGAGAGAGAGAGAGGGGGAGAAGAGTTATTATTTAATGCAGTGGTTAGCAACCAATTCTCCTTGAAATTGACTATACTTGTGACTTTGGTCCTCATTGGGGACTCGCCTTTCTAACTTTGTGCAATACCAAAACAAAGTTTATCAACTCAGGTTACCTCACCGTTTAAAAATGGCTGGCGAAGAATTTTCTCCGATCATTCCTACCGGGGTTAGTAACTATTTGCCCTGCACATGCATAATTGTATCAGTCCTCGCCAGGCTCCGTGAATACTTGCAAAACCAAGTGAGAAGACTAAGATTGATGGATACTTGGGAGACAACAGGTGAGCACGCGCAAAGAGTAGTGGTATAGAGAGAATGGAGCATGACGGGACGGGAAATGGCGGATGAGATGGAGGCGAAGAGGTATCGATTGCTTAACACTAGATACGTTAACAAGCAAAGATCTCAATTAGAACAACTCGCTAATGACTTGATTCCGTTTGCCTTCACTCGGCTTCATTTGCGTTTTGCCTGTGTCAGTTTCTTGTCGATTTGTTTTGCTTACTTTCTTCCTCCTCGCAATCTTACGTCTTTCTTTTTCATTCTTTTATTTTTCCAAGCGTCTTTCATTCAATTTTATTACTCCATCCCCACCCTCGCCACTGCCGCCACCTCTTTTTTATCTTCTTTTTCTTTCATTCTTGCCCACACTTATATCTTTTTCTTCAAGACTTTTCTAATGTTCGTCACTATTAGATATCCAATATTCCATTTTCGTCTTCTTCCGCTGCCATCTTGTCAGTTTTTTTCGTCGCCTTCACTTCCACACTTTCTGACATCTATATGTTTCCTCACCTCCTCCTGGCGTTCCAATTTTTTTCTTCTTATTTTTCTTCTTCTTCTTCTTCTTCTTCTTCTTCTTCTTCTTCTTATTATTATTATTATTATTATTATTATTATTATTTCGCTTCTGCACAGTATATGGTATTGGTTACCATCTTGTTTTTTCTTCTTCTTCTTCTTCTTCTTCTTCTTCTTCTTTTTCTTCTTCTTCTTCTTCTTCTTATTACTATTATTATTTTCGACTCTTTGCTTCTTATTCTATTCTTCTTCTCTTCTTTTTCTTCTTCATTTTCTTTTTATTCTTTCCTTCTTCTTTTTCTTCTTCTTTTCTTCTTTTTCTCCTTTTCTTCTTCTCTCCTCCTCCTTCTCTTTCTTCTTCTTCTTCTTCTTCTTCTTCTTTTTCTCTTCCTTTTCTTCTTATTTTCTTCTTTTTCCTTCTTCTTCTTCTTCTTCTTCTACTTTTTTCCCTGTCTTCTTTTACATTTCTTTTCGTCGTCATCTTTTTCATTTTCTTTTTTTTTCTTTTCTCCTTTTTCTTCTTTACTTCTTTTTCTTCATCTTCTTCTCCTCTCCTCTTGATACTTCTCTTTCTTCTTATTTTCTTCTTCTTCTTCTTCTTGGCTTTTTTATTTCTTCTTCTTTTTCTTCTTCTTTTTCTTCTTCTTTTCTTCTTTTTCTTCATTTTCATCTCATTCTTATCTTCTTTTTTTCTTCTTTCTTCTTCTCATTTTTCTACATTCTTCTTCTTCTTCTTTTCTTTTTCTTCTTTTCCTCTTCTTTTTTTTTCTTTTTCTTCTTCGTTTTCTTCTTATTCTCGCAGTTTGGTCTCCTTTCAATTTTTTCTTTCCTTACTCACAGCCCCATTACGTTTACTTTCTTCCTCATTCTACAGTCTTCCAATTTCTATTTTGCTTGCTATTCATTCGCGTACCATAAATCTTACTTTCTTCGTTAAAATCTTTAAAATAAAATTCCCTCTTTCCTCTTACCTCACAATAGTCATTCCTTCCATCCTTCCTTCCTTCTCCTTTTTTCCCCTTTTATCGCCGCCATTATCACCCCTATCTCGAGGTACCTTTCTTTTACATTCGGGAGCTGCTTATTGTTTGTACTGTTAGCACGTTCCTATTGTGAATCGGTTTTCCTTTCCAATGTACTTGGCTTTCAAAATGGTGCGTGATTGAAATACATACAAGGTGAACAGACGACAATTGAACGGTAATCAGGAAGGGTATTATTGTAGGGGGTGAAAACTCCAACAAAGATGCCTGGGAGGGTATATCGATCTGTGGATCGGAAACTCCAACGGACACGATTCAATCAATGAAAACATGTCATTGTTGATCCAACTATTTACATTTATCTCTCTCTCGCTCGCTCTCTCTCTCTCTCGCACACACACACACACACACACATATATATATATATATCACAGTCTCTTTTTCTTCCTTTGTATCTATCCATCACTGTCTATTCATATGCATCTATCTATCTATCTTTCTCTCTCTCTCTATATATATATATATATATATATATATATATATATATATATATATCAGTCTATCCACATCTATCTAGCTATTTTTCTATCACTGTCTATTCATATGCATCTATCTATCTATCGCTATATATTATGTATATATTTATATATATGTATATATATATATATATATATAGAGATAGATATAGATAGATAGATAGATAGATAGATATAAATATAAAAGTGAACATCGAAGTCAACGCTCAAAGGCGACAGGCTGTTTCATGCTAGACGCAATCATAAGGCCGCCTGACGATTGCGTCTAGCATCAAATATATATATATATATATATATATATATATATATATATATGTATATATATATATAATAAATTAACTGATTCAAAATATGGTTTTCGCTACACAGTAATAACCATGTTTCAAAAATGGAAGCTAAAAACTTCAAATTTAATTATATAATTAAATTAAAAGCATTAGTTCCGTTTCATCTTCAAGCGAATATTGGAATAACTTATTTTAAAATTTACTGAGTTTTTAACGCACATAAATTCAGAATTTACTGTTTCCAAGGATACAGAGAAATCTAATCATTTACACGGGGGCTGTATCGTGTTCATTTTTAGCGTGTTTCATTTTTATTAAAAATTATCATGCTACCGCCCCTGTCTGAATGATTGGATTTCTCTGTATCCTTGGAAACAGGAAATTATGAATTTATATGTGCGTTTAAAACTCAGTAAATTTAAAATTAAGTTACTGCACTGTTTTATAATAAACAGTATTAACGACGTTTACCGGTCTGAATGTCCGAGAAATTTTCATAGAAAATATTCAACCTCCGACAGGAATCGAACCTGCATCCTACACAAAACCATCATATAGCCTGACGTGCTTTTACCGATTTAGCCACAGAGGAGCGTTTCGGTCAGCAAGGTCGATTTTACTGTTTTTAAGTTGCAATTCTCCATGATTTAAAAACAGTAAAATCTGTCAAAATTCTATGAAAGCATAAAAAATAGTTTTTAATACCAGCAATACATTTTAATAAAAGTTTATTACCAGCAATGAAGTTTTGAAGAAAAAAATATTACCAGCAATACATATTTGAAGGAAAAATATTACCAGCAATACTTTTTTGGAAAAAAATATTACCAACAATATATTTTTGAAAAAAAAATATTACCAGCAATAAAAATCTTGTCGGCATTAAATAACCCATTGAAGTTGATATGCCTTAAAACAAAACAGATAGATAGATAGATAGATAGATAGATAGATAGATAGATAATATTACCAGCAATAAAAATCTTGTCGGCATTAAATGACCCATTGAGGTATTGATATGCCGTAAAACAAAACAAATATATACTGAGATAGATAAATATAAATAGACTGAGATAGATAGATAGATAGATAGATAGATAGATAGATACAAAATATTACCAGCAATAAAAAAAAAACTTGTCGCCATTAAATAACCCATTGAAGTGTTGATATGCCGTAAAACAAACCAAAGCAAACTACGGTTTGATAATTATTTCAGTATTACTTATTTCTGAGGGTATTGTCTTATCCTTTCAATATTTAGCTTAGTTTCAGAAAGGCATCTTTCGCTGTTTATGTCCGCCTTCATATTTTCTGTCGTTTATTACTATGCTGCTCATATTCTTAAATTTCCGCATATGCGGGAAAACAGGCAGTACGGTTTACGGCAGTAGAGAGATCGAGAACTCTGATACTTCTGCGAACCTTCTTGATTTGCTTCCATTTTCTTTTTTTTTTTTTTTTTTTTTTTTTTTTCATCCAATTACCCAGCATGTCTCGGAAAAAGAAAAAAAAAGCAGCGAAAACTTGCTTTGCATCGATCGAATTTATAGAAAGTGCCACCTTTTGGAACATTAATCAGATCTTTCTCTCAGACAGATCTTTTTCTTCCTCTGTCACAGAACGCTTATGGATAAAACCCACAAAATGAAAAGAACAAAAAAAGATGCGTACAAATGCCTTGGTTAGTTTTATTTTTGTCTCATGGGATAGGTTTTGCCGTCTTTATCTACGACCCTGTATATCTATGTCTATATAAGTAAAAGATTGGATATAACTTGTCATTTCTTTTCTGTATCATTTGGACAACGCCTTCGTTTCTTTTTATTGTTCGTCTTTCCTGGATGTTTCCAGAAGATAATGTGATTTAGAGGTTACCTGATTATCTGCCCTTTTTATCATTCACCGTCTGGTGACAGATGGCGCTCCAATATAATAATAAAAAAATATAGAACTTAAAAAGGAAATTCAGCTTTCGTTTCTAAAAGTTAATTTTCTTTTTCTTCCTCCTCTCGGAATTTTCTTTTTCTTCCTCCTCTCGGAATTTTTGTTTTTTTCTTCATTACACGTCAATGTTGTTTTCTTCTTTCTCTTTCAAAATTCTTCTTCCTTCACTATAAATGATATTTTCTTCCGTCTCTTGCAATATTCTTCTCTGTCAGTGATATTTTGTGCCTTCTCTTCTTATTTGGCGTCTTCTTCTTCCTTTTCTCTTTCAATTTTCTTCTTTTTCCCTCAATTTTCTTCTTCTGCTTTTTCTCTCTCGATATCTTCTTCTCCCTTTCCCCTCTCAATATTCTTTTTTTTCTTTTCTCTTTCAATTTTCTTCTTCTTTCTTTTTTCTCTCACTTTTCTTCTTCTTCTTTTTATCTCTCAATTTTCTTCTTCTTTCTTTTTTCTCTCACTTTTCTTCTTCTTCTTTTTCTCTCTCAATTTTCTTCTTCTTTCTTTTCTTTATCAATTTTCTTCTTTTTTCTTTTCTCTCTCACTTTTCTTCTTCTTTTCTCTCTCAATTTTTTTCTTTCTTTTCTCTCCCACTTTTCTTCTTCTTTTTCTCTTTCAATTTTTTTCTTCTTTCTTTTTTCTCTCACTTTTCTTCTTCTTCTTTTTTTATCTTTCAATTTTTTTCTTCTTTTTTTTTTCTCACTTTTTTTTTCTTGTTTTTCTTCAATTTTCTTTTTTCTTTTTCTCTCAATTTTCTTCTTCAATTTTCTTTTTTCTTTTCTTTTTAATTTTCTTCTTTTTCTTTTTCTATCACTTTTATTCTTCCTTTTTCTCAATTTTTTTCTTTTCTTTTTTTCAATATTCTTCTTCTTTTTTTCATTTTTTTTCTCTTTCTTTTTTTCTCCTTTTCTTCTCTTTTTCTCCAATTTTTTCTTTCTTCTTTTTTTTTCTCTCTCTTCTTCTATTTATATATATATATATATAAGCTCTTAATATTCTTAAATGGCTATCAATATTCATTTCTCCGACAGAATGAAGAAATTTTGAAAAAACAAACAAAAATCCTTAAATGTAGTCTAATATAAATATATATATATATATATATATATATTTGTTCTTCCTTTTCTCCCAAAACTTCTGCTCACTCAATATTCTCTCTTTCCTTGTCTCTCAATGTTTGTTTTTCTTCATTCTTTCCCAATATAATTTTTCTGTCTTCTCTCTCAAAATTCTTCTTCTTCCTTCTCTCCCAATTCTCTCTTTTTACTTCTCTTTCAATATTATTTTTTCTCTCTCTCTCTCTCTCTCTCTCTCTCTCTCTCTCTCAATATACTTTTATTTTTCTGTCAGCATTATTTATTTTCTTCTCTCTCAATATTTCTTTTTCTTCCTTGTCTCTCAATATTCTGTTCTTCCTTCTCTCTTAATAGTCTTTTTCTTCCTTTTTTTTTCTTTACTTTCATTCTTTTCTTCCTTCTCTCTCTGTATTCTTCTTCTCCCTTCTCTCTCAATATTCTTTTTCTTCCTTCTCTCTCGATTTTTTTCGTTGTCTACTCCCGTTTTCATTAACTCCTTTCCCAGTTTTTATTCATTCTGTTCTCAAACCGATATCCCAATATTTGTCGTAATTGCCTTTTTTTTTTACCGGAATACAAACGATAAGAAACCTTTGGAAAGGGCAACCATAGCATAAATAAATAGAACGAACAGTAAAATCTTTAGCGTTTTCCTATCGATATCTTCTGATGAATCTTATGCTAATTATTGAATAATTACCTTTGCAGGTTCTACGGCGACAGAATTGCCTTGGAAATTATTCTGTCGCATCGAAAAACATTTGAACTGTTCTTTCGACCTGAAGTTTTAGCTTAATATTCTGGTTTTTAAAATTCTGAGGGGGGTGAATTGTTCGGGGTGAGAAAATGCTGGAACTTCTGAAGTGCTAGGACCACCCATATCGCAAAAATGATATGGTACATAGATAGATAGATAGATAGATAGATAGATAGATAGATATGAGCAGAAGCTGATATAGATAGATAGATAGATAGATAGATAGATAGATAGATAGATAGATAGATAGATACTGAATAGATAGATAGATAGATATAGATAGATAGATAGATAGATATGTATGGATACTGAATAGATAGATAGATAGATAGATAGATAGATAGATAGATAGAT